AGCCAGAGCTCCACAGGGAGCGGCGGTACCGCCTCCAGTTTAGATCCCGTGTTTTATTAGTCCGACTCTCTCCAGATCAGCCACCCCAGTATCTGCCAACTCGCACCGAGGCAACAACGCAGAAGGCTGCATATTAAAACGGTGGGTAAGCGGAAGCAAAAATGAGCACGTGTCAAACGCAACTCCGCTCTTCACGGCTGCAACTGCTCCACCTCACAGGGAGAAGGAAAAAAAAAAGAAAGACAGGAGCTCGGCGATAGAAGAGGAAAGCGCAACTGGACAAAACGCAGGACTGAAGAGCAGGCTTTCAAGGCGCCGCGGCAAGCGGCTCTGAACTCTCGCCGCTGCCTCCCGCTATTGCCTCCCACTCCCAAAGCGCTTTCCTGACAGGCTGCAACAGGGCCCACACGAGCAAAGCCCTCCCGACACTGCCTTTGCACCCGCAAGAGCAATGGGACCTGCTCGGGATGGATTCCTTCAGCTCGGCCACAAGGTCTGCAGCGACCACAGCGACCTTCAGCTCGCTGCCACAAGGTCTGCAAACGGCACCCGGTTCTTCTCCCGGCCTCCATCAGCGGCTGTGATCAGCAGTCCACAGCTTGGGTGCTTGCGAGCGGCGACAGGAAAGTATCTGTCCCCGAAGGGTGCGGCGAAGCTTTACCGACTACCCCGCGAATACCGGCGGGGCTGGCAGCACAGCCAAGCTGCACGGGATGGTTACCACATCCACCTGCAGCCTGGACGGTTACCCGCAGGCGTCAAGAAAGGCGTTAGCAAAGCACAATGTGTTTGGCAGAGGTAACCGCAGACTGTGACGGCCGCAGCAGACGTCACATCCGACCCTTTTACTGGCAGGCTGACAGTTACTTACCCTCCTTGTCCCTGCCTTGGAAAAAACACCACCACGCAAAGTCAAGTTAAAAAAAAACAGAAAGCTCTTATTTACAGGTGTACAGGACTGCTAGAAATGTAACATAGTGAATAAAAAACAGGGAAGGAACTCCCAAGACTCTCCCGCTCCAGAGAAGGCTTCATCATTACGCTTCTCGCCCGCAGCCCTCCTAGCGCTGGAGAATCACCGCAAAGAGCATTTCTGACGCCGAGCCCCTGACCGCTGCTGAAGACAAGGCATCTCCATGGAAACTGCCAGCCGCATTTCATACACGCGCCCCGGGACGCCTGCAAGAACAACTGTATTTATTTCCACAAGTGCTTTCTCGCAAGCAGGGATTAAGGGAAGCTCTCCAGCTGGCCCCCAGCTCCAAGCCCACGCAAATGTGAGCAGAAGCGAGGCGTTAGGCGTTGCGCTGAAGCCGGCCCCCAGGCAGCAGCGCTAGGGAAGCGAGAAGCCCGGGGGGACCCATCTGCCACCGTTAGCTGCTCCGAAACAACGGGCCAGGGAAGGTCTCTCAGCCTCATGTAGGAGAGAGCCAGGGCGATACACAGCAAGCGCCTTCCTGCTCGGCCAGGGCTGGGAGAAGCTGAGCTTTAGCATCTCCGCTGCACACCAGCGACTTCGTGAACTCCAGGGCACGATAACTACACGAACTTAAGAGAAGCCCTTTGGGTGCACTGGGAAGGGCGCGGGGCGGACCTGGCATCAGCCCACAGGCAAATCGGCTCACGGTACTACGCAGTTTTAGGGTACAGTCGCTCTCTGCAAGAACTCCAACACCACTGGCGCAGCAACTGAGGTCTGGAACAGACAGACCTACCGGATGAGGTTAACCCTCCAGTGGCCAAGCGTTCAGCATTCTTTTACCATGAAGGAAAACCTGAGATTTAGGACACCTGAAGACTTGTGAACCGCCCTCACAGGACAAAGCATTTGGCATATAACAATGAAGCATGGAGTTTCTACGGTTCGTTAGAAGACAAAGAAACGGACCAGAAAGCAATGTCTGCAGCACCTTACAGGGGAGCGGCAGAGCACCAAGGCACTCCCGCAGGCAGCGGCCGCCACACCTCTCCTCTACGCTCGGCCGCCACGCTGCTCCAAGCGGCACCAGTTCTCCGCGTTTGTCCTCTCCGGACAGGGAAATCCTCTTTTGGCAGCTCTCCTCTAAATTCAGCCTTGCCTCTCGGAAGACGGTCCACTGGGATGCCGAACGCCGAGGGCAAGGGCTTGGTCCATGCAGAGCGAGCCGTTCCTCACAGCTCTGGCAGCGGCAGCCAGCGGACCTCTGTAGCATCACTTCAGGACTGCTGCCGCTTTGCAGGGTTCTTCACCTTGTCTACATGTCCTCAACGCTCCACTTGTACGCAAGCTCCTGAACTGCCTTCTTGTTGGCTATCCTGGCAAAGCGCTGCTGCTCGAAGCCGTTGGACCTGCAAAGCAACAGCGGGAAGACCGTGGGCTGCTGCGCAGAAGCTTTTTCCGAAGCAACGAAACTTTTTAGAGATATTACGAGTTTTCCACTACATTCTGGCTCAGTTTCCACCTCCATCTGTGGTTAAGGACAGTGAGCCTCTCCGAAGCAAGTTCTGTCAGCTACACCCTAAGGACAAGCGGGTCTCACCCTGCCTGCTGCCGGGCGTTCACACTGCGGAAGTTATTCACACCCTTGCCGAAAGCACCAGCCTCGCTGCCTTCTGTCCCAGACAAGCCCGGATTCATCACCTGTTCCTAACTTAACACATTCAACCTCGCTCTTGCTAAGAGTCTCATTCATCTGCTAACCGGGAATCTTTACACCAGGAGCTCTTTGAAGCAAAAGCTTGTTCAGCTTTACTATCGTTCTACCACACCACCGTATCAGGAGCATGTACCTGTCCACACCGTCCCAGCGATGCCCGGGCCATATATTAAATCTGTTGAGCGGAGGTGCTGGTCCGTTGTACCTAGGTTTTTCTAGAAACAGAAAGAGCGAGACAGCCATTTACTGCTCAGCGCAATCCTGCAGTCACATCCTCATCAGCCTCAGGCATAGCGCACAGCTACGGCTCACAGAGGAAACGTCCAAAGATACGCTTAATCAAATGGGAGCCTGTCGCTTTTTAAGTCACCAGGGCCTGCCCTCTAAGCTAAGGAGTAACAGCAGCCGTTACTGTTAACGAGCCAATAGCGGCAAACACGGCTCCTACGCCAACTCCAGAGCAGCAGTCCTTTAGGACCGAGCTGCTCTGGCAGTCTTGGGCTATTTCTTTAACAGCAGCTGCATGTCTATGCCGCTGCGGCCTTAAACCATCCGCTGGCATAACTCAACATCCAAACCTTTCTTTTCTTTGTTCTCTTTGGCCTTCCTTTTTTTGATGAAGTCAGCCATGGGGTCTCCTTCTCTCTCCTGTTCTCTCAGCATTCGGTCCAGATCCTGGTCATCAATGTAACGGGCCAACGGCTTCTGCATCTCTTTTATGGCATCTTCCACATTCTGCTGCTGTTGCCTCCCCTGCGCCAGCCTGAAAGCAAACACAGAGTTTCACTCCAGAACCAAGCAATCGGTTACTGTGACTGGCTCAACTTGCAGGCTTGATCGCAGTCCTGAACTTCCACCGTGCGCGCCACGTTCCCAACGTGCATCCAGCAACGGAGGGAGTGATTGAGGGGGTCTCGACGGCGCATGGACCACGTGCTCTCCTGGTCCCAGGCCCAGACTCAGGACAAAGTGACATGCCACTAAGCTGTAACGTGAGGCCCGAAGACCGCGCTACTAGGGAGCTCCGGCGAGCCTTACCCTTTCCCCCACTTGGCGTATTGCTCGTCTCTCTCGGACTTTGCCTCGGCTTTCTGCCTCTGCTCCAGCCGCTCCTGCACAAGGTCCCTCTTGCGGCCTGACTTGTCTCGGAAGACGGTCTCAGAGTGCCGGGATTCCTCTGGAGGGGGCAGATGCCTCAAGTCACACTTTTTGGAACATTTCGCCGTCTCCAGACAATTCAATCACCAACTGAGATTCACTTCAACATTTTTTCCTTTCGCTTGCTCTAGCCTCTGAAAGAGCTTATCGTCCAGAACCAGGCAGGATCACAGCTCTTGCTTCCAGCCGCTGCCCCGCATGGCCACGCTCGTACCGCTTATAAAACTTTTTCTTTCAGAGGCTCAGTGACCCTAGCCAAACAATCGTCAGCATGTCTAGATGCTGCTCCACCGGGGTGCTTGGCATCGGCACCCTAACACCAGGGCCTGATACAGCATCAGGGGACCACTGAAAGCAGAAAAAATGAGCTGATGCCCGTGCAGTGTTTCTACACCCCTACCTTCCAAGTGCTTGTTATTTCTCTCATGCCTCCTGAGCTCCTGCTGTTCCCTCCGCAGCACGTCAGCTGACACCAGGCCAGCTTTGACCCCAGATAACATCACGTTTGCCTGCAAATCAAACAAAAATCACATCCGCCGCTAGCCGAGAGCTGCGATCCAGAGGCAGAATGAGGGGACGGCCCGAAACCGAGAAAGACGTGTCAGCAGAGGCAGCCATGTTACAAAGCCACTTGGCTGGCGCCCTCGCGACCGACTCCCCCAGACCTCCAGAAACAGAGAGGACCGAGGCAGAGCTCCTCTCTCACGCCTATCTTGTGCCTCCTCTTAGCGCAAGCAGAGGGTCTGGCACGGCTGCATACAGGACGTATATGGCATTTCTACTCCGCACTCTAAGTCCTTGCGACTTTCACAGTTTTCTATCAACAGGAAGTAATCTACAGCTGAAATGGAAAGAGGAAACGTTTACCTTCTTGGGAGATGCCCTAGCGTCACGGTGGCGATGAGGGGAGAGGTTAGGGGGACTCCTTGAACTATGCCGATCCTTCCCAGCTGGCAGAGTCCGTCGTGGAGGCGATAAATCAGAGTCTGAAGATTTGCTCAGATTCCATTTGAGCGGACGCCGCTTAGGGGAATCACTGCGTACATGGCCTAGCCTGCGGTCTGCATCAGAGGCATTCCGGGTACCCCTCCGTGGAGACGGAGACTCAGAGTCGTGCCTCAGGCACCTCTGAGGCGAGGGCACCTGCCTATGTTTTCTCGTGGCTGGAGAAGGACCTGCAGGGAAGACACATGATAACTAAAAATCACAGAATTAGACAGAACTCGTCTCACTAAAGAACTAAACGGCATGATCCATGAGGTGAACTCCTAGAAAAATCACAACCTTAAGACATGACATGCTGTAGGAAAAAGACAAGTATGCGGCAGGAGCCTGTGAATTCTCTTCCTTCTGCACGGGTGCTGCCTGGACAGAGGATTTAAATTCTGTTTTCTTTTCGGACACGTTTAAGCCTTTGCCAGCTAATTCTTAGGTTCATTCTAGTCCAGCTGATGAAAAAACAGCATTACAAGAACTGGCTTTACCAACAGAAATGACAACCTATCTGCTACCATTCCATGATTGCAGACTGCTAACTCCACGCCATGTTCCTCTCTGGCACGTGCAAACAAAACCACAGGGCGGGCAGCCAGCAAACAGACAGAACAAACTCTTACACACGCTCACCTTTTGTTCTGCTCTGCTTTCTCACACCAGGTGACCCAGTCCTCTTTCTGCGCAGCGGTGACGAATCTGGGTCAGAACCATACCTCTTCTTCCGTGGAGGGGATAGATCTGGCGTAGCCTGACGCTTCTGACGTAACAAGGACTTGTCAGAGACACCAGGCCCAAACTGAGATCGCTCTCCTTGGACTCCCCCTGACTGTGACTTGTCTGTGGTTTTGCAGCCCTTTTTCCCCATTGAATTGATTCTCTTTGGAGAGATGTCCAGGGAGTCGTGGCGCTGCCGCCTGGGAGGAGACAGGTCCGGGGAGTCGTGACACTGCCATCTTGGGGGAGAGAGGTCCGGGGAGCCCTTGTGCTTCCTTCTTGGTGGCGAGAAGTCTGGGGAGTCATGGCGCTGTCGACCGGGAGGGGACAGGTCCGGGGAGTCGTGGCACTTCCTTCTTGGCGGAGAGAGGTCCGGGGAGTCGTGGCGCTGTCGCCTGGGAGGTGACAGGTCTGGGGAGTCGTGGCGCTTCCTTCTTGGCGGGGAGAGGTCTGGGGAGTCGTGGCGCTGTCGCCTGGGAGGGGACAGGTCTGGGGAGTCGTGGCGCTGTCGCCTGGGGGGGGACAGGGCTGGGGAGCCGTGGGGCTGTCTTCTGGGAG